ACTTCAGCTTTCACGTGCGTTTCCGTATGCACGCTACGATCATTGAGATAAAACTGAAGAGTCTGTCGCTGCGATCGCTGAACGTTTTTTGGCTGCCATCTTAGCGATCATATGTAAGCCAGCCTCAACAGAAAGGAAACATGATATTAGGCTGCGGTCATGCCCTCCCGCCCTCGTGGATCATGACAGTACGAGTAGTCGGTTTTTGTTCCTGAAAGACTGAGTAAAGATTATGCAAATGAGGGAAAGAAACGAGGAGGCAATGCTCCTTTCCCTCCGCGGCCGCGCTTCTCGTGACTCGCTTGCGGCACGGCCGCTTGATCGCTCATCGCACGCGAGTCACACACTAGGACACGAAACTCATAGCACGCTAGGAAAAGACAGAGACTGCTCGCAGCGTAGGATCATTAGTAGTCGCTGCTCTGCCCTCATTGTGTAGAGCGTTTTCACTCACGCGGCGCCGCGGCCAGCAGCCATGCGAATTTATCATTTATTGTTAACACAAGAAAAGAGTTTAACCTCCACGGGATTGGTTTGGGTTTAGTTGATAGAGGGGAACCCTCTATCAACTATTCTTTAGTTTGGCTTGCTGTAACAGTGAGGCAGTAGTCCCCAGAGCTGCTTGTCCTTGTTAACCGGCGGGGTCTTGGTACGAGGTAAAAAGGCAGTGGAGACACATTACTTTGATTGACTAGATTCTTTGACCAGGAATTTCTCAACGTTAGCTGGTCCTTCCCGAAAATATCCGTAGTTTTACGTTATATTCTCTCGGTCATTTAACACCGGGAACCGTCTGGAACGAGCGTAATGGAACATCTAAGCGGCCATGATATCGAGTTCGACTTTGCGCCTCACTCACCTCGCACAGCGGCTTTCCATAATAATCTTTTCGAACCTCTGCGTAAGAGTGAGGGTTCAGTCGAGTAAGTCTCGGCGATGTTATTCGCGGAAGACAAAACTGAAGTTAAAATTAAAGGGCCTAGGGTAGTTTCTCAAGCAAGATATTTTTTCTCCGATTAGTAAAAGTTCAATTTTTCGTTCCTCATCTTCAATACATGAGTAGAAAAGATGACAGACAAAAAATAAAACACTGATAAAATTATATTATGTTTTTTCTTGCTAATGGGTTAATACTGTCGAGTGATTTGATTAATGGTCAGCGACTAAATTCGTATTACTTATCAGATATTGTAACTTTATATGTTATCATCCTGGGAATCACGCGGTTCGTTTCAACATGAGAATTTGATAGACCTCGTTAAGGTTAGGAGGCATTAAAAATAAAATTTGTAGGTGAAGAAATTGTACTGTGGTTCACCCACTTGTATTTTAATATAAACAAGAACGTACAATGCGTGTGTCATTCAATAAGTCGTCGTCGAATTCGAATTAGCATGACAGAAGGTTGACAGGCGAAGACTGATAAACTTGATTTGAACAGATGTAATTTTCAGTTCTGTGCAGTTTCGTCGCCACTATAGCGGTCTCTATTATAACCGAAGTATCAAAATGGGTGATTTGTTTGGGAATCGAAGACACCAAAAACCGAGGGCGAGATTTTTTAAAAGATTTGATTGTCGAAGCTATAGATGCAAGCAGAAATACGCCGTGCAGTTTACGGAAGCAAGCCACGAAGCTATCAACAGCAAGATTTTCATATGTAATTGGTCTAGCCTTTCATGAATTGACGTTTAAATATGAGTCTTAGTTTCGATGAATAATTTATTCACGCACACGCCGCTTTCTACGGTACAATAATATCAAATTCAGTTGTCCATGTTTTTTCATTTGAAATAAAGGAGCCGAAAATATGGCGATAAAAAATATTGATCTTTATGGCATGTGTGTAAACAGACCGGATGATTCGCGTTGATTTAGGACTTTGTGCGATGTACACATTGGAGAATCCTGAGCACTTATTAAGACATAAAGATGGTTTTATTGTTGTTGATGTTATCTTTGGTGAAATTCACGAGCTAGTGAATATTTCATATAAATAGCATTTGAAAAAAAGCTTAAGTGGTAGAATTAAAGGAAGATGGCTTTTCGAAGAGATTTTCTCCACAGCGCGTTTCTCGTACTTTCTACTGATATCGACAAAATTAAAATACCTGTTTTGTAACTAATTTTGAAGTTTAATTTTCTCTTTTGACTTTTCATTTAATGTTTTATTTTTTTTAGATATTTTGGTTTCATGCATTACCTCAGAGCATGTGGCCTTACATTAAAATGATAATTTGCTACCTAATTCAGATCCTTTCAGATACTTTTGTTATGCAAAGTTGTCTTTAACCAACAACCAAATCTCCTCTTTCTTGTTTTCCGAACCACCGAATTTCATTTCTTTTACTTCAAATACTTACCATTCAACAATACTCGAAGATTATAAATCGTTTGAGAAATAATAATATACTTTGAACAAAGTTTCCTGAATTCTAAGAAATAAATTGTCGACGTTTTGCAAACTGAATTTTTCGTTTAATTTGTAAGTTCTCGGATGTTTTCATTCATTTCTTGATCTGATCAAATGTACGCGAGTTAACAACTTGTTCAGAAAATCTCCGTGTTCTGAATACATTAACCTATTTGAATTATTCATGTAGTCTTTCTGTAAATTTACAATTCTAAAATGACAGCGCGTAGAAAACAATAAAAACAGTATTCAGGCCGCCACCTGTCATATGTCGTTGTTGAATGTCGCCCACTTTATGAGAGCGAACAAAATCTTTCAAGGAAACATTCGAACTTGCCGAGTGCTGCGTGCGAAAGATATAACTTGAGAGTTGTTCTGACATAACTAAATTTTCGCTGTATTTATTCGATAACTCTCCAAGACTTAAAAGGACATCAATTGCTCGTTTTTCCAATTGCTTTATTGCCATCTGGGAGGGCGAATGGAGCCCTTCAATCGTGGATTGAATCACATCAGTGAACAACCGAGCAACAACTCGAGTGTTCAGACACCCAAGCCATCGCTTGCGGGAGAAAGCGGCGATAAGGGTCGAAGGATTATCATCAACGTTAGTGGACTACGCTTTGAAACCTTCGAACAAACGCTTTGTCAGTTCCCGGAAACCCTGCTCGGTTCTTCGGCAAAAAGGGATTTCTACTATGACATTGAAAACAATGAATATTTTTTCGACAGAAATCGCTCATCGTTCGAGGCCATTTTATTTTTTTATCAGTCGAATGGCAAGCTAGTGCGACCTAGTGGTGTTCCCTTCTACGTTTTTTCGGAAGAAGTGAAATTTTTTGAGCTTGGCAAGGAATATCTTCAGCGATTGGAGATAGACGAGGGCTACATTAGCGAGAAGAAACCTGTATTGCCGACTAACCAAACACAGAGGAGGATATGGGAATTATTCGAGTACCCCGATAGCTCTATGCCCGCGCGTTTTCTAGCTATGTGGTCAGTTTCGGTTATTATTCTGTCCATCGTCGTATTTTGCCTCGAGACTCTGCCGAGCATAAGATGCAAGAATGACTCAAGTGGACCTGGTTGCGAAAAGTACAGTGATAGCGATCAAGCTCAGGAAGTTTGGTACCGCGTAATCGAGGTGCTATGTATCGCTTGGTTTACTCTAGAATATGTAGTGCGGTTGCTATCGTCGCCGCAAAAGTTGGTCTTTATTCGCACATTTTTAAATATTATTGACCTAGTGGCGATATTGCCGTACTATATTACACTTCCAATGAATGAAGCCCGGGTCACGTCGTTAGCTGTACTTCGAGTCATTCGACTTGTGCGAGTTTTCCGCATCTTCAAGCTCTCGCGTCACTCCAAAGGCTTACAAGTCCTCGGTTATACTCTTCGCTCAAGCTCGAGGGAACTAGCCATGCTTATATTTTTCCTGTTGATCGGAGTAGTGCTGTTTGCAAGCGCTGTTTTCTACGCCGAACAAGACAGCAAAAACAGCCAATTCAAAAGCATCCCTGATGCATTCTGGTGGGCAGTGGTTACTATGACAACGGTCGGGTAAGTCAAGAATTTCCTCATTTAGTCTTTAAAGCTAAATTGATGACCAACCAATTCTTAGTTAAGTATTGATTCTGACGCTTTTATGGAAGTAAGCCTCCTTGTTCTGGCAGTGCAGAGATTCTATTTGTGTTTTTCGTCGTACCTTACTTATATCGACAACCTGCCACTCTTGAACTAGGAACATACGGCTTATATTACGAGTTCAAAATTTCCTGAATCTCAATTTAATTACTTTATTCAAGGAGCTGAAAGAATATAATGTTCAAAAATACGTGACAAGAACTAGAAACGGGATGTCGTAAATCATTGAACAATATGTTTGACTGAAATGAATGGTCCATCCATTCGTTTCATTAACGAGAAATGACGTTTTTGAACATAAAATTGTTTATTTAAAATTAATTCT